TATCAGTGATATCATATGGCATTTTTCTCTTTGTGGCTCATTTCACTTAAAATGATGGTCTCTAGGTTCAACCATGTTGCTGCAGATGACATTATTTTATCTTTTTTTTAAGGCAGAGTAGTAGTCCATTGTATACATTGGACTACTTTATCCAGTCATCTGTTGCTTCATTTAGGTTGCTTCCATGTCTTGGCTGTTGTATATAGTGATGCTGTGAATACTGGGGTGCAGGTATCTTTTGCATTGGAGCTCCCTGTCAGTATATACCCAGAAGAGGGATTGCTGGATCATAGGGTAAGTTAATTTTTACAGTTTTTTGAGGCATTTGTATACTGTTTTCCAGAATGGGTACACCAAAGTACGTTCCCACCAGCAGTGTAAGAGGGTCCCGTTTTCTCGACACCCTCTCCAGCATTTATCATTCGTGAACATGTGCGTGACGGCCATTCTGACCGGTGTGAGCTGATACCTCACTGTAGTTTTGATTTGCATTTCTCTGAGAATTAGTGATTTTGAGCATTGTTTTGTGTGCCTCTTGGCCATTTGTAGTCTTCACTGGAGAAATGCTCGTTTAGGTCTTCTGCCCATGTTTGGATTGGGTTGCTTGTTTTTTGTTGCTAAGTTCTATGAGCTGTTAATATATTCTGGAAATTAAGCCTTTGTCGGTCGACTCATTTACAGATATGTTCTCCCATTCTGTAGGGTGTTGTTTCGTTTTGCTTATGGTTTCCTTTGCTGTGCAAAAGCTTGTAAGCTCAGTTAGGTCCTGTTTGTTTCTTTGTTTGTGCTTTTATTTCTGTTGTTGGGTAGGCTGCCCTAGGAGATCATGGCTGAGAGGTTACGTCAGGTAGTGTTTTGCCTGTTTTCTTCTAAGATTTATAGTGTCTCGTGTGCATGTTTAAGTCTTGAAGCCGCTTTGAACTTCTTCCTGTGTCGGGTGTGAAGGAGTATTCTAACTTCATTGATTTGCATGCAGCTGTCCAGTTTTCTCTACATCTTTTGCTGAAGAGACTGTCTTCCCTCCATGGTATGTTCTTGCCTCCTTTGTCAAAGATTAATTGAGCAAAAGTTTGTGGGTTATTTCTGGGGTCACATTTGTGTTCCAGTGATCTGTATGTGTGTTTTTGTAAGAATACCGTGCTGTTTTGATTGTAGGTCTGTAATACTGTCTGAAGTCTAGGAGGGTTATTCCTCCAGCTTTGTTCTTTTTCTTGAGTAATGCTTCAGTAATGGTAGGTTTTCTCTGATTCCATATAAATTTTAAGATGATTTTCTCTGGTTGTGTGAAAGATGTCCTGCGTAATTTGGCAGGGATCTGCATTCAGTCTGTCGATGCCTCGGGGCAGGTATGGCCATTTTAACAATATTCTTCCAATACAAGGACATAGGCTATTTTTTGTTTTCTCTAAGTCCTCTTTAAATCCCTTAAGTGTTTAATGGGTTTCTGCATGTAAGTCTCTCACGTCCTTGGTTAGATTTAATCCTAAGTATTTTATTTTTCAGATGCAGTTTTAAAAGGGAGTATTACACTCATGTGAAGGAATGCCACTGATTTCTGTAGGTCGATGTTGTATTCTGCTACCTTGCCAAATACTTTAATTAGCTTTAGTCATTTTTGTGTGGAGCCTTAAGGATTTTCTATAGATAGTATCATGTCATCTGCATATTATGACCATTTTACCTCTTCTCTTTTAATTTGGACCCCTTTTATTTCTTTTTGTTGTCTAGTTGCTATGTGTAGGACTTCCAATACTATATTGAATAATAGGGGTGAGAGTGGGCATCTTTGTCTTGTTCCAGATTTTAGTGGCATATTTTTCAGTTTTTCACTGTTAGTACTGTGTTAGCTGTAGGTTTTTCATAAGTAGCTTTTATTATGTTCAGATATGTTCCCTCTATGCCCACTTTATTATAAGCTTTTATTATAAATGGCTGAATTTTGTTTTGCTTTTTCATCATCCATTGAGATGACCACATGGTTTTTGTCCTTTATTTTGTGAAGTGGTATATCACATTGATAAATTTGTATTTTGAACCATCCTTGTGTCCCTGGGATGAATCCAGCTTATGTTGTATGATGTTTTTTATGTGTTGTTGGATTCTGTTTGCTAATATTTTGTGGATGATTTTTAGATGTATGTTCATCAGTGATATTCACCTGTAATTTTCGTTTTTAGTAGTGTCTTTGTTTTGTTTTGGTATATGGGTGATGGTTCATAGAATGAGTTTAGGAGTATTCTTTCCTTTTCAATGTTTTTAGAATTTGAAAAGGATCGGTATAAGTTCTTTGTATGTTTCGTAAAATTCCTGAGTGAAGCCATCTGATCTGGACTTTTGTTTGAAGGGGGGTTTTGCTAATTTCTAGTTATTGCTAATTGTTTCATTTCTTGTGATCGGTCTATTGTAGTAATCTGTTTCTTTTGTCATGGTGGACTGTATGTTTTCAGAAACTTGTCCATTTCTTCTAGGTTGTCCAATTTGTTTCCATATAGTTGTTTTAGTATTCTGTTATGATATTTTGTTTTTGTGTGATACTGGTTTTAGAAGCTTAGTTTTTAAATGTTTTTAAGATTGGCGTAGCAAAATTCACATTCAGTAAAGCAATGGTTTATCTCTTGTAACCTGACTAAGTTGATTATTTTTACTATCTTGAGCCTTTGCCCAAAAATCTAGTGTGATCCTCACATCCCTTCTGAAAGGTTTTGTTTCAGAGAGGGCTTAGAAGCAAGACAGGAGCTGTGGTTGTTCCTAGGAAAACACAGTGGGTGTGAATGGACATGCTCACTGAGGGGGTTGTACACAATTCATTCACCTAGTAACTGTGATATGTTAATTTATTCATTGATCTATCTTGACATCATAGCGTATCTCTGGACATTTTTTCCTGTTATATTGATGTACATGTCTTTTTTTTTTTAGCAATACCATACTGTCTTTATTTAGTTTTTATAGGAAGTCTTGAAATCAAACAGTGTAAGTCTTCCAACTTAGTTTTTTTCCAAAATTGTTTCAACTATTCTAGGTCTAGTCTTCTTTAATTTCTTCTAGGAATATTTTATATGTTTCAGAGTAGAGATCTCTCGCATATTCTGTAGAATTTATTCCTGAGTAGTTAATATTTTCATGCAGTTTAGTTAATTTTTATACACTGACCTTCTGTCTTGCAGCTTTGCTAAACTCACGTAGTAGTTCCAATACCATTTTTTTGTCGATTTCTTAGAATTTTCTATTTGGGACATATCTGTGAATGAAGAAAGTTTTATGTTTTCCTTTTTTTCATATATATGATTGTGTGTGTGTGTATTTTGTAAATTTATTTTTTTGCTTTATTTCACTGGCCACAATCTCTGGTGTATTTTGAATAGAAGTAGTGAGAGGTCCTTGCTGTGTTCTCA